AGACCGGCCGGGACTTGGGTGATGTTGCACGTAATGTCCATCCAAATGTAGCAGAGGACCGTGAAGACCGTCGTCCACTTGCGGTCGATGAGATTTTCGGTCTTGTCGGCGACGTACTTGTTGATCATGGTTGTGTTGGTGTCGCCGAGCGCCTCACCAATGTCGACAGCGTGCATCATGACGAGCCAGCAGAGCGCGCTTGTGATCGCACCCCAGAAGAGGTACGGGCGGCGACGACCGTACTTGGACGTGCACGCGTCCGAGAGGACACCGATCGTCGGCGCGACGAGGAGACCGGAGGTAGGCCCGACAAGCTGGACGACCTGGACCCACGACGAGTCGAGGAGGATCTGGAGCACGGGGCCGAGGGCGGCCCATTGCGCGGCCCAGGCCATGTTCATGGCCATCTTGGGCGCGCAGAGGAGAATCATGAACGGGATCGAGCAGCCTTCGATATGCTTGTCGACGGCGGGCTCGTCGTCGAGGCCCTTGTCAATCGGCGTCGCGACCGCTTCGTAGTCCTTGCCGTCTTCGAGGCCCATGGTAGCTGGAGGTTGTCAAGGCCAAAGCAAAAGCAAAAGTGATGACACTAGCTAAAGCTGCGTGGCGGCTTCAAGGAAGCGTCTGCAGTCTAGGTGGGTGGCTACTCACGCAGGACCAGCACGATCGCGCTTGAACTTCAATGGGAGCGTCCTACGCCCATGATAACGTCCCACCCGGAGCCCACCCGGATAAGCCTCGCAAATATCCATCTCGCACCGATCCTCGCCTGCGTACACGCGGGTGGTGATGTTATCTCGCAACGACGTCCCAAGTACTAGCGACGGCGATATGGCCGCTTCAGCCGACTCGTCCATGAGCTCCACAAACTACAACATGACAACACGCCTGTCTTTTCTATGAACTAAGATCGTAGTCGATCGCTGATAGCACCAGCTGGCGCGTCAAAGCGATCGCCAGCGCAGTGGCATCCCGCGCCGAAAGAGGTGGATGATCAAACGCTCGCAAAGAAGGGGCAGATGTGCGCAGCCGGACAACCCCCGCTTCTTCGTCCTCCTCCTGCTTTGGAGTTCTTCCTCATCGACGACGACGACAAGGCTTCGGTCGGACCAGAAGAGCCCGTTCGATCTCGTACATCCAGTGCGAACGATCACCAAGCTACGAGCCATACCAAGCAACAACCCGGCACACGGCAGACGACCCAAGCCAAAAAAGCCAAAGAAGGTGCAGAGAAGTGCGTGGCTTTGAAATACTCTGCGCGTTCGAATCACACCTACTAGGAATCCGCGCCGAAGGACCGGACAGGACAGGGATGGAGCAGTACCACATTTCTCATCACGTCACACGCACCAGCGTTAGCAGTATCACTCGACATGTGTTTGTCGCCTTCAACCATCGCCCCTCGTTTCTGGAGCAACGAGGTCGACTTCAACATCGGTCGGCCATATACTGGATAGAATATAGAAGTGCAGCTATCCGACTTCTTCTTGTTTAGTACCAATTACTTGTGGAAATGCACGCGACAACTTCTTGAACGTCGGCTTGCTTGTCTGGGATGTGTACTCTGCGGGTCCTTCTCTGCCGCCTGTCGAGCGCCCGCGGAAGCCTCCTCACAGTAGCCAAACCAAACGAGCTGATTCAACCACAATATTCACGGCAACGAACGCCCAGCCCTGATCCATTGTATGAGGCCGCACTTGGCCCCCGAGCGCCGCATGGGATAATGAGACAGGTGCGCGATTCCTCGCACGGAGCGTCCCCGTACTAGCACGTCCTCCATACGCAGCAAGACCCTCGGTTTTCTCAAGGCAACCGCGTTGGTATTCCACCTACGAACGCGCGGCTCGGGATTCGCATCGGCTTGTGTGCCCTGGACGAAATACGAACCGAGCGTTGAAGCAGAGAGATCGTCGCAGCTGGGCTTGTCGACGACGCGTTTGATGGTGGTTCACGGCTAGGTAGCGTCTGCGCATGCAGAGGCTATGGACAACGAGTTATAATGCATGCGAGCTCTGCATGTGCATGTGTGGAGCTCCTTGGTACTAGGAACGACGTGGTCGAATGCGTGGCGGGATGCCACCAAGACTCGAACGCATGCAATCATCCGCATCTTCATCTTCTTACTGTACTCTACACTACCGATCGCATTTCGCCTCATCAGTACGACTTCCATCGCGCGGGCAGGTGCTTGCCCTGCGCGCGCTTCATGTACTGCCAGTAGACGAGAATGACGGCGCCAATGACGCAGAGGTAGACGAGCGACTCGCCAAAGTGCAGATGCGCCATGCCGGCCTCGTGGAGCTTCCGGCCCACGATCGAATACTTGATCGCTGCCGGCTCGATCGCCGCGTACGGCGTGTACTCGATGGGCGTAATGAACGTCGGCAACTCGCCGTCCATCGTCTTGTTGGAGCGAATGTGGTAGCAGCTCTCTTGGTCGAGTTCGGCGATGATCTGGCCGACGCGGTACTCGGACGCTGGCCGCGACGACCGGTACTGCTGGATGTGCGTGATCGTGTGCGGCTGGTTGGCCGATCCGTCGAGCTTGACCGAGTTGCGGTGGAAGAAGACTATGTTGCCCGTCGGGTCGTACTGCACCATGGCGAGGCCGCAGAATACCCGCTTCGCATAGCTACACTCAAGTTACGACCACGCCGAAGTAGAAGGCGTTTGAACCTGTAGATGCCGCCGATGGCCGGCGGGCGCTCAATCATGTGGTATGGCGTCGACGTGTTGCGCCACGCGAGGCGGAAGAGGTCCTTGTCGCCCCACACCAGCGAGAGCTTATCGATGAGGTGCGGCTCGTGCGTCGAGTAGTACATGAGCTTGTTGAGCGCGTCCTTGGCCTTGCGGCGGTTGATGAGCACTTGGCCCGACTCTTGCTCGAATTGGTCCCAGAAGTCCATGCCGAGGAGCTGCCACACGAGCGAGTGGCTGTGCACGTCAAAGAGCGAGTTCGCCGGCTGCCAATAGTCGGGCCAAAAGACGGCGCCGTCCCGGAGGAACGTCGGGTCCTCAAAGAGGTAGCTCGGGTCGCGCACCGGGATGTTGTCCGCGTCCAAGAGCAAGATATTGTCGTACGCGCTGTAGTACACTGCGTGCGGCTTGGTGTGGAAGCCCACTGCGCGCTTGTCAAAGATCTCGCGCATGTGCACGTTGTAGTCGCGCGTGAGCTCGTGGATGAGGGGCACGTCGGCCGACATTTCATCGGGGCGGTACCACATTTCGATCGGGATCTCGCAGCCGTGGTCGCGCAAGACGCGGATTGCAGCGTACGCGGACGGAAGCACCTTGTCGTACACGATCATGAGGATCGCATTCGTCGGCGGGTGCTGCTGCGCGGTCGGCAGCGTCAGCGACGTGGCCATCGGCGAATGCTGGTAGTGCTTGGCGAGGAGCGAAAACTCGGAAAAGTCCCGGGCCATGTCGCACGTAAAGTCGCGGTTGACGATGCTGCGGCACGAGGTCACCATGAGGCGCAGGATAGCGCCGCTCGTGCGGTTGCGCACTTCGCAGTAGCCCGCCTTGCGCCGCTCGACCATCTCGGAACACGACCGCATCTTGGCGAGCTCGCGCCGCGGGTACGTGTTCTCGGGCTCGCACGTGTCGGTCTCGTGCCACCCAATGCACTCGAACGACTCGTCGGTCCAGCGCGTATGGATCTGGTCCGCGTTGAAGTGCGGGATCGTCGTCATCGTGCTGTCCATGTCGCTCCGGAAGACGGGCTTGATGTTGAAGTACTTGTGGTACCAAAACGCGACGCCGAGCCCGAGCGCGACAAGGAGCCCAAGCAACCGCAATAGCCGCGGCCGCTTCGAGACGCGGACCGCGAAGAGCACGGCGCTGCGCTGCACGCGGCGCAGGCACGAGGCCACGTTCTTGGAGCCGCAGCGCAGCGCGGGGGAGCTAATGCTGCCGTTGTCCAGCGGCCACTGCGACGGAGCCATCGCGTCGATTTGTCTACTACCAGCCTGCAAGCAGTTTGCCGGCCACGCGGACTTAGTCGGGTCGCCGACGCATTGCACGGGCATCTCCGTAAAGTGCGGCGTTTGACACGCTCAAGTGCGGCCAGCTGGCCCGACCAATTTAATTTAAATCGTTGATCTGTACTTGGTGTTTGTAAGTCGCCGTTGTGAAATCTAAAATAAGGTGACCGAACCACCTGCCGTTACACATTTGAACCGCTGGAAGCGACACCGACGACCGCCCGTTGCTTTGACGCCGCTTCCATAGATCTTAGTGGCTACCTTTTGAGTTGCAGCGCGATCTTATCGCCATGTCCTTCTTGTGGCGCACTTCCTACATTGGTATCGACGAGCTACGACGCGGCGGAAAGAAATGACGCGCGTGGGCGAGGTGTCGCACGCCGTCAGTGTACCTCGTCCACACAATTCCTTGCTTATCTGATGTGAGCCTCCACATGGGGCGAAGAGACGACTTCGTTTGGAGCCAACTCGACGCGGAAAAGACTTGGTAGCTTTACGCGTATTCTGTGTTGCGTGCGGTCGACGCCAAGTCTGCGCTCGCTGAGCGGCAGCTCGTATGGCTCAACGTCATTTGTCGATTGTCGTGTTGGTGGCGGCGATGCAAAAGAGCGAGCGCGTCGCATTGTCCCGTGTGACCAACGAGTCTTGCGAGCGTGAGCAACGACAGGCGATGGGAGGGGAGGGCAAAAGTGAGATGTGCGGCCAGGAGCCTGCCTTGCAGGTACGAATTGGAGGAACATGGGAACGGTGCAATGGGACGATGCGTCGCAGTCGACCGGCGCAATCACCGCCGCCAACCTCTTGACGAAAAGGCGCCAACACAACCGACGATGGCGGAGGCGCCGAGAGGGGGCAGCACAGCGAGAAGAGGACTCTGCTCTTGAGCTGCTAGGCCACCGACGGCGCAGGCTGTGTCGACTGCACGGTCATGGTGTTGCGGCAAGTGCAGTGGCGCATGGTCATAGCCCCGAGTAGCTTGTCGACCGACGACTGCAACGCGATCCTACCGTGTGAAATACACTTGAATCACGTGCGTGTGTGAAATGCCGGTGTGAAAGGTGTCCGCTCTGAAGAGCTCGAATGCGCTCGGTTCCGGATATTCTCTGTTTATCCGTAGTACGTCAACAGCGCCATATGATTGGTCGAAACGAGTCGCGGCAATCCTCCACGCCACGTGGTGGTCGATTGCTCATTCCCGACACGATGGCCAAGAGCAGCCTGCGCCAGCGCAAGGCGGCGCCGCCGACCAAGACCGCCCCGCCGCCGCCGACGACCGATACGGCGGCTCATAACGAAGATGCGAGCCACAGCGACCTATGGTCCATCCTCATCTTGCTCGTGCTCTACACGCTGCAAGGCATTCCGATGGGCCTCTCGTCCAGCATTCCGTTCCTGCTCCAAGAAAAGGTACGACAAGACGTCGCGTCCCGTTCGTTGCACCCACGCCTGTGGCTAGGTCGGCTACGCCGAGCAGGCAACGTTTAGCTTGGTGTCATGGCCGTTTAGCCTCAAGCTGCTGTGGGCGCCGATCGTGGACGCGATCTATTCGGAGACCTTTGGCCGGCGCAAGTCGTGGCTCATTCCTGTCCAGTTCCTCTGTGCTGGCCTCATGGTGTTTGGCGGCCCTTTTGTCGGCAGCGTCCTCGCGATGGACGAGCCCGACGTTGTCGCGCTCACGGCGTTCTTCTTTGTCTTGTACGCGCTCATGGCGACGCAGGACATTGCGGTCGATGGCTGGGCGCTCACGATGCTACACCCCAAGAACGTCGGGTACGCGTCCACGTGCAACTCGGTCGGCCAAACGCTCGGGTACTTTATCGCGTACGTCGGGTTTCTCGCTCTCTACGACCCATCGACATGCGACGCGTACTTTCGGTCGGCGCCCAACCCGGACGCAGGTACATCTTCCCCTTTTCCGTAGCCTCCATTACCGCTCTCACGCTGCATTGTTGTAGGCATGGTGACCTTGCCTGGATTTATGGGCTTTTGGGGCTACGTGATGTTTGGCACCACGCTCTTCATTTGGCTCGGCAAGACCGAGAAACCCGAGACCGCCGAGAGCCTCTCGATCCTCGAGACGTACAAGCAGATGCTCTCGGTGCTCCGGCTCCCGTCCGTCCTCTCGCTCACCGCGGTGCTGCTCACCGTCAAGGTCGCGTTTGCAGCGACCGACGCCGTCTCGGCGCTCAAGCTCGTTGAGTATGGCCTTCAGAAAGAAAAGATGGCGATGCTCACGCCGATCCTTGTGCCACTCGGCATCCTCCTCCCCGTGTTTTTTAGCCACCGCATTCGCAAGGACGCGCCGCTGCAGCTCTTCCTCTATGGCATTCCGTGCCGCCTTGTCGTCGGCCTGCTCTACGCCGCGATCGTGGCGGCGACGCCGACCGTCATGGGCCACCACGAAGACGTGCATTACTACTACTACCTCTTCATTCTCGCCTCCGGAGCGCTCCACGAACTCGCAGCGAACATGATGTACGTGCCGCAAATGGCCTTCTTTGCCCAAGTCAGCGACCCGTCGATTGGCGGCACGTACATGACGTACCTCAATACGGTCTCCAACCTCGGCTCCAAGGTGCATTCCATGTCTCTAGTCCGTCTCGCTATAACACCTAAATTGTCTAGTGGCCCAACTCACTGAGCCTTGCGTTTGTCGACTCGATGACAACCCGCGTGTGCTCGAGGGACGACACCAATGCCTGCGAGACACACCACGCCAAAGTGGCTTGCGAAGGGGCCGGTGGCTCGTGCACGATGCTCTGGGACGGCTACTTTACCGAAGTCGCGTTCTGCACGCTCTTTGGCGTTCTCTGGCTCGTCTTTGCCTACAAGCGCCTCGTTGCGCTGCAGCACTTGCCCCTCTCGGCGTGGCGTATCGCGCCACAGTAGGTTGTCGACGGTCCTTCCCGTATTCTCCTAAATCCAACGACTTTTCATCCACAAGCTAGACACGTGATCGAGGCTGTGTTGAGAGAAAATGGTCCAGGGAAGCCAAATAAAAGGGGCTATCTGTGCAAAGTGTAGCCCCATATCGCTCTGGCAAGTAATTGAGTTGGGCGAGCGCAAAACGAACCACATACGTAGTGCTCTGACGCTCTTGCAACCGCGATGCCATCAAAGACACTACGCTATTGACCATCCAGCGACAACGATGAGAACTCACAGAAGATAGCCCTTGATCGAGTCATCCTTCTCGGCGTCCTCGTCCTCACGTGCTGTGAGGATGTCGCCGAGGTACTGGTAGCTCGATCGCTGCAAAAGAATGTGGTCATGGATATGCACCACAAGCACGGAGCCGATGGCTCGGCTCATGTAGGTTTGGAGCCAGGCGAACGGTACGTGGCGGTAGATGAGCTCGAGCTGGAGGTTGGACGTGCGCGTGATGGCGGACTGGGACACCTCGACCATGTTCTTGATGAGAAGGACGCCAGCATCCACGGCGACGAGTTCCTTGTCGCCGCGCTGCACAACCTTGGTGAGTCCGCGCTGCGACGTCACGATCGACGCTAGGTCGGTCACGGCCAAGTACCTCAGCAACGAGTGGGTCGGGTCAATGTGCGTATGCACGCTGCGCTTGGCACTGCGCTTGGCGTCCCATTGGACACTGAAGATGGCGAGGACGATGACGCCGCATGACGCGACGGCCGAAAGGTAGTGCGTGTGCTCAATCATGCTGAACGCAATGCAGTTGGTGGCGGTCGGGGACCCGCACGGTCCCGGCACTTCATGGTTCAAGGACGGCAACACGAACGCTTCGAGCACAAACACCAGGACCCCGTTGAGAAGACTAAAGACCAGCAGCAGCCATGTCTGCGTCACCAGACGCGGATTGAACCACATCTGGACGAGCGTCCCCGTCATGATCCCGACGATCGACGCGAGCTGCGCAGGTCCGCAGTAGGCAAAGAAGCCCGCGTCATGGCTCGGGCTAATGTACAGAAATGTCGTGAGCGTCTGGAGATTCCTGTTGCCATAGAACGCCACGAGCAGGATGACGAGGCCGACGACGTTCTTGGCCATGTACACGGGGCCGCAGCAGATGACGCTGCGCCGGAGGTATACGATCTGCATCGCCGTCAAGTCGAGCGTGAGGGCCCACAGCGTCATGGCATTCGTGAGCATGAGCGAATTGCACTTCCACGTCATTGTCACGAGCCCTTTGACCTTCATGAGCCAGCCAAGACCTGTCGCTTTGTTGAACGTCGTGCAGCTACCCACCGTGAGCACGTCCCACGGCGCATTCATCGAGAGGATGCCGGCACCGTACTCGTCCATGGACGGAATCGTCTCCAGCAACGTCGTCCCGTTGCCCGTCAAGGTGGCGACAGCGCCAGGGTTGAAGTGCACTTGGTTGCGCGGCGTGACGCCCACGTACACGCCCTTGCCTTGGTTGACCTGGATCGCATACGTCTGGACCGTTGGCGCCACATCGTTTTCGCAAACCCAGTTCGGATCAAACGTGCGCTGCGAGCAAAAGGCGAGCGTGTCGATCGTCGAAGGCGTTGCCGCGGGCGCCGATTTTCGCCGGAAGCTAGCTCGTCGGATCATGCACGTCATCGCCATGTCATGGCCCGGCAATGAGAACTGCGCGGTCGCCTTGTTCCACCCGTTGAGGTTGCTAATGTGCTGGATCGTGACGCTCTGCGATCTGTCCTGGAAGCGCGGCTGGTCAAAGTCCGGGATCGATACAAACGCTTTGGCGACGTGGCCCCAAATGCGGTTGGTCGCAGGCAAAAAGTCTGCTGCACACGCAGCGTCTTGCTCGCCGCAGGCCTTGTAGAGGAGGTCGCTGAGCGAGTTGGTGTCGTTGGTCAGCGGCCCCGAGAGCGCAACGGTCGTCGTGCCTTGAAGCAGCGTCGTTATCGGCACGTTCCACTGGTTGTACGTGAACGTATGGATCTGGAGCCCGAGCGGAACCGGGGTGTTGGCGATGCGGTCGAGGTTGTACGTGCAGAGCGCCACGATGGTTGCGAGCACGAGGTAGAGGATGGCGAGCACGAGGCCTTGGCCCACCCACGGCCGCGCCTCACCCGAGCTCGACGGATAGACCCGCGCGTGCATCGTGTGGGTCGCAGTTGCAATGTCAATTTAGAGCGTGTGAAACCGACGCGTTCATGATGATGCGGATGATAGGAGTGAGAGCAGTGGCGTCAGAGTAGCATAGTAAGTAGAGGAGAAGCGTGCCATAAAGCTTCCGCCTTGACGCTAACTTTCGAAGCTGTGAGGCGTGCAATGCCATCAGAATGACATGTCGTATGGACAGTATAGTTGTGGAAGGCAACGTGACTAGTCGTAGGTAGTATATAACTCAAATTTACTGTTTGCTCTTCTTGGCTTTCGAGACGGAGCCCGCGACAAAGTCGTTGACGGACGACGTCGGCTTGGTCTTTTTCTTGTCCGAAAGCGTCGAGCCCTGCGCGAGGAACTTGGCCTTGAGCTCGTGCACGGACGGCCCGGTCGCGGCCGTGTCCTCCTGGCGCTTGCGCTTCTTCTGCGTCTCCTTTTCGCTCGGCGCGACAAACGTCGCCGCCTTCTCGGCCTTGCGGACCTCCTTGGCTTCGAGGTTGACTGCCTGCTTGGCCGCCTTCTTCATTGCCTTGCGCTCGTGCTCCTTCATAAAGTACTCGCCCGACTCGATTTCCTTGTCGACCTTGCTCGGCATCTGCGCAGGCGGGAACGGCGTGTACTCGCGCTTCTCGCGCACCGTGTGCGGCTTCTTCGTCTGCACGTTCTTCTTCTTGAAGACGGGGAGGAACCGGTCCCAGTTCTCGCCCTGGAGCGCCGGGTCCTTCGATAGCTCGCGCTTGATCATGAGCGTCTTGATGTTGTAGATCGGGTGGACGTTGTGGAAGCAGTCCTCGACGATCTTGCGCACGTGACGCAGGCCCGAGTACGGGCCCATGGCCGAGACCGTGTTACCCTGCACGAGCACATAGCAGTTGGTGAGGAGCTCGATCGCCTTGAGCGTCGCGCCGTCAGGACCGACGAGGCGCTGGCGACGCTTTACGAAGCGTTCCTTGTTGCGCACGAGACCGCCGATCTTGATGATGTCGCACTGCACCTCGTCTTCGAGAATCTTGATGGCCTACGCGCATGGCACAAGTAAGCTGCTGGTCATGCACGAAGCACAAGTACCTGGTTGACAGGAATCGAGCGCGCCAAGAGCTTGATGAGGTCGCGCGACTTGAGCACGATGTACGGGTCGGACGTCTTCTTCGTCGTGCGCACGGTCATCGAGCCTTCAATGAGGTTGAGCTCGCACACAATCTTGAACGCATCGAGCGCTTTCGTCACGATCGGCCACACTTCGCGGAGGTACTTTTCACGGTACTTAGGAAACAAGGTCGCGAACGAGCTCTCCTCGAGCATGCCCGTCGGGTTCTCGTCCTCCTTCCATTGCTATCGCCATCGAATTAGCCAAGTTCGCTTAGCATGGCCTAAAGCACGTACGTCGACTTTCCAGTGGGCCACGTCGGCCGTGTCCCACGGCTTGTCCTTGCGGTGCTTCTTGCTCTTCGGCGGCTCGGCCATGACTGCTGCGGAAATGGGCTGTGGTCCGATCCGATAATTTGCTCCAGTCGATTCCACCAATCGTTTCGTTGCCCTCTCATACTCGATATATTCGACACACTACCTCTTTCATCGTATCTTCGGCACATGCCGAATTAGAGACGGTAGCATCGCCCTCGTAAGTGGAGCCCAATGCACCGTCGGAATAGCCAGCGTGCTTGCAGACGAGCGTCAACGCTGAAAGGATCGAGGTGCTGTGGGCTTGTTGCGTGCGATAGCAAAGCGCGCCACAACGTGTTGTGGTCAGGATGCAGCTTGCGGATGTGGCACAGATGCCGAATATAAAAAAAGATTTGCATGACGACCGAGAGCGCTGAAGCCGTGCGGCAGCTCCTGCGGAAAGACATGCAGCGCGAGCATGCGCTCCACGCCGACCTTCTTCAGTACATTGGCCTGCGCGAGGAAGACTTGTCCTCGGTGGGTGAAACCTTCGCGCCTCCATTGCGCCGACTGGGGTGATGGCTCGTAGGCGAGCCAGAAGCACATCCGCCTCATGGCCCAAGCGGCGAGTGTGCTCGAGCTCAATACGACCGACGTCAGCGCGTACAAACATCGCTATAAGCCCGAAGTGCTTTTACCATATCCACTAGGTATGTGGCTGCGATCTCCGACCTGTGCGAAAAGTACGACGCGCTCCATGCGTCCGTGAGTACGTGGCGCCGCCACGAAGCAAAGCAACTCAAGCGCAAGCAAGAGCTGCACAACGAGCTGCGGGAGATGGAGCACATGCTTGCGATGCTTGATGCTGCGTCCCAAGAGCGTGATGCGATCGGTGCGATCTCATGTCGTCCTGCGTCATGACATTTTGGTGTAGAGAATGTGGCAACGATGGACGGTCGCCTCAAAGAATATACAGGGAAGCACGCCGTGTATGCCAAGGAGATTGTAATACGCTCACAATGCTGCTTGGCGCAACGACGATCCCAGACGGTAGGCCAAGCTCGACAAGAACCTCGCGGACCGTGGCTACTTCCACGTCGCATCGTACGCTGCACCAACGAGGTGGACGATACTAGCTCAATGTGCTGCGCGTAGGTCCTTGCACCACGACGTGCTCGTGCACCTCGAGCAGCAGTGTGCGCAACTCGAAGCTGCCAACAATGAGGTCCGCGCCAAGGTCGATCGCTTCCAGGACCTCCCGCCCAACCTTGAGCTGGCCAACGCCACGCTGTACAAAGCCCAAGAACGATTACAGCAGCTTGAAGCAGACTTTCAGTCGCGCGTGCATAGCATGGTCTAATCGACGTGGATCCGCTGCACTTTACATTATCGCACGTGTCGTACCCTCCCAACACTAGAAACGCCACCTGACATCGGCCTATCGACTAAATGCGGCTAATTGGCCTGAAGGCAGCAGCCCAACGCGTGGGTGCAAGACCACTAGAGCGTGAATGAGCCGTTGATCCCTACAACTCTGGATCTCGTGCAATGTGCTTGGCCTCTTGAATCGATGCATCGGCTGCGAGTTGGGTGTTTCTATCCTGCTCGGTCATCCGGATGCCAGTGGCCAACGATGGCGTCCTTCAAGCAGCTCTTCTCGGCGGCGCCGGCGCGCGCCTTCGAGTACGTTGGCTCGACTGTCCCTCCACTGCATTGGCTCACGTGCTCTCTCTATGCGTAGCGACCTCGTCTCGGGTCCGCGGCTAGCGTTCTACGGCTTCATCATGTTTGGGCCTGGCACCATGGTCGGCCTGTACCTCCACAGCGTCAAGATCGAGATGGAGAGCGAGAACGAGGCGGCGCGGCTGGTCATGCTCGCCAAGGCGCGCGCAGAAGTCGAGATCGAAGACAGCAAGGAGGCCCAGCGGAAAGCAGAGCTCGCAGCCATGGCCGCCAAGATTGACACGCTCCAAGCACGGCTGCGTTCGATGGAAATTGCCGTCTTGGGCGATGCCACACCCGAGACGCCCTTGAGCACAGACGCGGCTGCACCAAAAAGCAACGACGCAAAGCAAGACACTGAGGTCTCGGAAGTTACTCGCGAGGCGCCTGCGACGTGGAGCGTTGCCGCGCTCTGGGTCCGCCTGCGCGAGATGTGGGACGAAGAAGACGAGGTGACGTGGGATGACTTGTTCTCGCTCGAGTCGTGGGAAACGTCCTGGAAAGAGTTTTATGCCAAGCTCGTCAACGACAGTGATGGCAAGGCAACGCCGTTGCACATCGATGACCTCTGGGCCACCCTCGCCGACGTGACGTCGCCCTCGTCACTTGACGCAGCACCCGACGCGCTGCGTGCCAAAGCCGCGTCGATCCTAGCCGGTCCCAAGCCAACATCCCCTGAAAGCTTGCCAACAACGCGAGAAAGTATGAGCTTCATGGAGACTGCACAGGAGCTGCTGCAAACCTCGTGGGCAATGCTCTGGGACGACAAGCGCGCGGCGCCAAGCCCCGAGGACGTGGACCGCATGGCCGAAGAGGCGGCTTTTGAAGAAAAAGTCCTTGCTCGGTTCCACAAGTCGGATATCTCAAAGCGCAAGCTCGAGCAAGAGTCGGTGTTTCAAGCCCAGGACCTTCGCACGGCGCGAGATTCGCGGCCGTAGTTTGGTGGAGTAGAACAAGTGCACAGATGTATGACGAGCAATACGATTGTGTAATACATTAGGTCGTGCGGCGTTTAAAGCTCTGTCTTGCCGTTCTTGATCGCGAGGAGCTCGACGTCAAAGACGAGCGTCGCCTTGCCCGGGATCGTGGGCGGCGAGCCGTGGTCGCCGTAGCCCATGCCCGACGGAATCGTCAGGCGGCGCTTCTCACCGACGCACATGCCGACCAAACTAGACAAGACACACATGAGATGAAAAACAAACGGTCGACAGTGACGGCAGCAGCCTACCCTTGGTCCCAGCCCTACACAGAGGCAATCAGAACCATAGCCGCGGTGGCTACAAGCGATGCACGTACCTTGATGACTTGACCAGACCCGAGCGTAAACTCGAACGGCTGGTTGCGGTCGCGGCTCGAGTCGAACTTGGAGCCGTCCTTGCGCAGCGTGCCCGTGTAGTGCATCGAGAGGTGGTCGCCGCTCTCGGACTTGCGGTCGCACGACTCGGGGCGGTACTTGACGCCAATGCGCAGCGGCGCCGTCGGCGCCAAGTCTTCCTTCGCGGCGACGAGCGCAGCGAGCACAGCAAGAGCACACGTGGCAAAGCGCATCTTGAGCACCAACTCTGAAAATGCTACGTGGCAGGGTGGATCCGAGCGTATCCGGACACGCCACCGTATCCGTAATTTCCGTTGCATTATCCGTAAATCGTGCGGCCTTGAAGCGATTCGTTTCGGCAGATGCCACCTCTTTGTATCCGGATTTCCGGATACACTGCCATTCATGGGCGCCCCACACTGTATTTTTATAAAATAGCTTGTTTTTTGTATACAGGCTAGGCCGTTGAAAAAAATGACAGCCATTTTTGACATAGCGACGATGGCAACCGAGCCGACGGAGACGCACGCCCTCGAGTCCGCGTGGAGCATCTGGGAGCTGCGCGAGAGCTCCAAGAGCAACTACGGCGAGAACCTCCACCGCCTCTGCACCTTCTCGAACGTCGAGGAGTTCTGGGGCTACTGGAACAACATCCCCAAGCCTTCCCAGGTGCTCAATGACGGCGTCGTCAAGAAGAAGTTCACGGACCGCTCCGTGCAGTCCTTCGCCGTCTTCAAGGAAGGCATTCGCCCCGAGTGGGAGGACTCGGCCAACATGAGCGGCGGCGAGTGGCAGCTCTCGATCAGTACGCTCGCGTGGCGGCGAAACGCAGGCTAAGTGGTCGTGTAGAGCTGCAGGCAGGCCCGCTCGACGAGCTCTGGGACAAGCTCGTGCTCGGCATGATTGGCGAAACCATTGACCCGACCAACGAAGTCACGGGCGCCCGCGTCGTGCATAAGGTACCTTGCTAGGTGCCAGGTGCGATGCGTCATGTTGCGACTGGTTGTAGAACAAGAAGGACTCGCACTCTTACCGCTTTGAGCTCTGGCTCCGCAGCCGCGACCGCAACCTGGCCGACGAAATCCGCAAGAACATGGTCGCGTGCTTGAACCAGGAAGGCGTCAACCCGACCAAGGTTGTGATCAGCGACTGCTCGTACAAGGAGCACCGCCACTAAGCGCTACGTACGACGAAGGACGCTCTTGCTCTTACTTTTCGGCCCAGGATTTGACGATGAATAAACGTATTACACCATCGACCGTGTGGGCGATAATGATCTTACCAGCCAAGCCATCGCCCTCGCTCCCTCGATCACCACTGTGGTCCTTGCCCCGATCACAAGCCAGCCTTGCTCGATCCTGGCGGCGGGGCCACGTTCGCTCTAGGATCATACATACCGCGCTCGACTTGGCTGCGCTGAGAACTGGCGATGATAGTTGGTTGCGATACCGGGACGAGATCTGGCAGCGATGGGATGCTACTCCCGGTACCGGTACGTTGCGTAGTGATAGCGAGGGCGCCAAAGACCTTCTTCCTCTATCAGTTTTCCAGCGAAGCAAGATGGGCGATATTCCTCTTCGCACTCCGAGTTGGATGAGCGATCATCCACTTGGAGGTGGTTGGACATCACGCAGGAGCACGCTAGGGCTATCACTTGAGGAGGAGCTTCGGGGACAAGGAAACGCCAGCCAAATCGCTCGACGACCTTGCCGTGATGGATGGTTGCATGTCGTCCAGTTATACCACCTGGCTACAGTAGCATCGTCCTAGTGTCACCTCGGATGCGCGACGACCTGCCAGGCTTTTCTACCGCCCCACGCTTCCACCATCCAGCCAACAGCTCGAGACACCCCAGATACTAGCTGACCAATATATATATTCTAACGCGATATTAACATGACACTACGGACGAGCGAACGGCTTAGACGATCACCTTGTCGGCGCTCTCGGGGACGACGGCCGGCTCGAGGTAGAGCGCAATGAGCTGGGCCGTGGGCGCGAGCACGAAAGCAATCGAGCCAACGACAAAGTTGTTGATGGCAAACACCGAGTTGTCGGTCGCGATCGCAAGCGCTTCTTCCGAGTCGTCGGTGGCCGTGAGGAACTTGGGGAGAAAGTAGTAGCTGCCAACGATGAACAAAATGTTGCCGAGGATGTTGAAGACGGCCGCAATGTACCACCACGCCTGGCCGCGGATCGAGCCGACTTGGAACATGCGCGCAATGTCAATCAAGAGTGCAATCTCAAAGCACGAGCAGCCCGTAATGAAGAGGAGGCAACCGGCCGACGGCGCGGTGGCGTACACGACAGGCACAAAGTAAAAGCCGCCAATCACAAACTGCACCGAGCCGACGACGTTCCACAGCGAGCAGATGAGCGGGAAAAACCGGAGGCTCGAGGTCCCTTCGCACCCCTTGGCGCAGTACGCGTCCCAGCAACTGCCGATGAGGAACGTAAAGCACCCGACGACAAAGAGCCATGCGCCGATGAGCGCGCCTTCACCTTCAATGTCGTAGAGGGTGTAGTAGCGCGGGTAGTAGAGGATCGAGCCCGCCAAGAAGCACCAGCCGCCGATCCAGTACAGACTACCGGAAAAGTAGTACTGCAACACCTCAAGGGTCGAACGCGGGACAGCGACACTGATGTCCGAGCTCGAGTGGTCCGGCGTCGGCGTCGCGAGTTGCACGTGCGTGGTCATGATCGGCTTGGGCGCGGCGAGGGAAAAGGGAGAATGGTCTGAGATGAAAAATCAAACGAGTTGATTCGTTGACATCGTCTGGGATAGAATCGGCGGCTGTCGAGTAATGGGTTGGTGCGCCGAGCGACGGCCGAAATTGCCCTTTTCTTTTTGGCTTTAAAATCACCCACCGAATCGAGAGGCGCTTTGTATGAGTCACACACTTGGTTCTTGTATTGGCGTATCGTTGAAGGGACAGGCCAAGCAGCTGGCTCCAAGCCAGTCCACATGGGATCCCTCTGCCTGTCCTCGGCCCGTACCTTGAGCTACTTGTGGTTCCAGGCCCACCAGCTGCGTCGCGGGTCAGGTCCGAGCCAAATCGGCTGCTGAACTTTGACGTGGAGCTTCACCAGCTGGCGTCGACCAATTATGTGCTGGCGGCCACGGATTGGCTCGTTTGAGGCAGCTGGTGCGCTCGGCGGCCTTTTTAGCCAATCCAAAGGCGTGCGGTGCCCATCACGGGCAGTGTGTCATCCGCCGGTGGTGCACGTCCAACATGTGGGGCCGGCGGAAGATCCGAGGGCTCCGATGCGCCACGGCGACGCCAAGACGAGGCTTTCAGCGCTTCGAAAGGAAGCGACGAGACTGCTATTACGCTCCGAAATGCATGGGATGCGTCGTTGGCAGTGGTTCTGTGGACCGCAATCGCGGGAAATGAAGGTAAAACGATGCGAGTAGCGTTGCAAAAGCCAGTGAACTCGGCGACGAGACTGTTGAAAGAATGGCATCGTCCACCAACGCCTAAGACAATAAGACATTCGCTTGCGGCGTCCAAAGATGCACTGTACGGCACATCGAGGAAGCGTCAAAATGCCTTGGGATGATGCCACATCACAAAACGACGAGCCTGAGAAAGTGCACGGCCGCTCAACGACAAAGCCACGGATTTGTTACGAGCCGTGATTAGGAAATGACGAGCCATGCCAAGTCCCAAACCGTGGTCAGCGGTTCGTGACGGTCGCTTTCCACGCCCCGCGCCACCAAAATAGTCGTTGGCCTTGGCGACCGAGGCAGTCGCTGCCAATAACCAAGGGTCTTACATACCCTTGCAATAACGAGGGCCCGCACCGAGGCAGCGACGCAATACTTTCGACAGCACCGTTTTGCAAGCTCCCGGGGGCAGAAAGGGCCGGACGTTTGCACTACTGTTGGCATCCTTGACAAGCTTCGAACCAAGTTTGGCTGCGAGTAGCCCGGCCACGTACACGTCGCCATTCGCGTGGTTGTTCGTATTGCAGAGGACAATGATGTAGATGTCGGGCACTCCTCGGGTCGTCCACGGTGGTGTTGACCTTGCGTTGATGCCACTGGACGTCGCGAGCCCGGGTCGAGCGAAATGATGCGCGCTCAAGATCTGTGTCAAGCCAACGCCTCAGCTGGGTCAAGCCAACGCAAAAGATCTGGGAGAAGCAACACCTAAGATCTGAGCGTGAAACATGACGGCGTCGGGAGGCTCTTCTCGAAAGTCTTCGCTTCCAGACGTCCTGGAAGGTGCTCGTTGATATGATGAGCACTGCATATCCGACACTTGGCTCGCCGCGCCGTGGTGCCTTCGCTTGACGAGTCGCTCCATGCCCTACGCGCCGACCCTTGGTGTGCTCGCTACCTCATTCCCAACTCAATCCCGAGCCCCGACCATGCGCCCTCAGCTTGACGTACCGGCCAAACCTCACGAGCGCTGTAGGAAGTCCACCATCGTCACTATATAATTGCATGTTAATAACTCATTTCAACAGCGGTTCCATGACATATTACCTTTGGCAAGAGCCGACGAGGCGGTCACAGTGGAGTGTTCTTGGTCGGAAACGACACTCGCACTCGCGGTCTTCC